TTCAACATTGTATGATAGTAAATTTGTATAGAATATAATAGAATATATCTATTCTATTAATAGATATTAATAGTCATCAATAACTTCTATATATATAACAATAAAATTATAATAGACATTTGGTTTAAAAAACACTTAACTTCAACTCGCTTAAACAGCTAAATAGTTTATCGGATCAACAAAAATTATGAGAACAAAATTGTTAATACATTTTTTTCTCTCATATTATTTTATTATTATTATTATTTATGTTAAAAATAGCAAAAAATTGTTTCAATAAGTCATAAATTATGTTTATTTATTTATTATTAAATATATACATACTATTAACCAAAAATTCACAATAATAAATTTGTGTTGAATATAAGTGTATGTGATTATTTATAGACATAAATTATTTAAGATATGATTTCCGAAAAAATTATAAATTTAATTATCGCTAATTTTTTCAATTTTTTTTTTTTAATAGATGTTCTTATCTATCATTTGATATATTTTTTTATAAATTTGACCCTTTACCTACTCACAGGGGGGATTAAAAATGACAACTTTTTCAACTTAACTATTTAAAGTGTTCCGGAAATACTGACGCTTTTATATATACCTTAAATTAAAGTTTATGTAATATATTTTATTATGGAAAAAAAAGTTTCTGACTTTATTTTGTCTTCACGGTGAAAATGGCTACCAAATGATATTTTTGTGTGAAAATTCTCGATCTTATATTTTACATTTTTTACTTTAAAATGCTACAACTTTTTGAAAAATGTATGTATCAATACAATTTTTTCATGAGAAGTAGTATTTATATACATCTTTCATTCGACATACTGTTTTTTTTAAATCGGACCATTTCCCTTTATGCAAGGGTCAAAACTTAAAAATGTATATGAAAGTAGAACTTTTTCAACTTAACTTTTGAAAGTGTTCCGGAAAGTCTGACACTTTTATATATATATCTTAAATTAAAGCTAATGTAATATACTTTATTATGGAAAAAAAAAATTGCCTGACTTTATTTTGTCTTCACGGTGAATATGGCTATACCGGAATGCTATTTTTGTGTGAAAATTCTCGATTTTGTATTTTACATTTATTACTTTAAAATGCTATAACTTATTGAAATGTGTATGGATCAACACAATATTTTTATGAAAAATAATATTTATATCCCTTTTTCATTCGACATACTTTATCTTAATCAGGATATTAATAAGGAAATAGCAGATCATGTTGCTTTTGGAATAATTCAACAATTTTTTAAAATTAAAAAATCTAAAAATTTGCATCGAATACTTGATCCAACTATGCCACGTCAACACTGTGCCGCGACCCTCCTGTGCTGGGTTTTTATAATAATAAAAGTATTATTAGTAAAATTAAGCTCAACTGAAATATCATAATTTTTGTTACAATATCCTTAACTGTTAATTTCGGGAAAATTACAGTTTTTAACATTTAATAATGAGTTTAAATTTTTGCGATAAGTAAATCATAAATATTTTTATTTTTAACTAACTAATGCATAACTTATTGAAAAGTGGATGGATCAACACAATTTTTTTANATTATTATCGGATAATTTTTCTGAGAACAAATATTTATTAACATTATTAATGTGACATCAAAATTTAAATTAATAAAGTACTTTAAAATATCAAAAATCCTTAATTTTCATTAATTGTTAAAGTCACCCGAAAATATAAAAAATTGAGAGTTTCGACGTTCAATATGAATATATATTAATAAGTAAATAAATTAGCTTCTATTACAATTTATTTTGTTATTTTCTATGTTTAAATATATTTAATAGTAAATATATTTTTAATAATACTAAAATTGGTTTCCATAGCTTTAAACTGATAATTAGTCGTGTTATTTTATGTTATTCAAATTCAATCGTCAGTTCTACGATTACTAAATATAACTTGCGTACTTCACATCAAAATTTACCATCTCAACAGTGTTTACAATTTGAAAAGATGATCAAAAACTGGAAAGATTTTTTGATAGGTCTAATTCAGCTCTGCCTTCTATCTTGTTATTCATTTTGCATATTTCTAGTCATTTTGTATAAACTTTATCAACACCTTATTGCAAAGTATGAACGTCCTGTAAATGAATCGTTCGATAATATAAACTCATCCAATCCATGCATGATGACTGAAATTAATCCATATGATAAACATGTAACTTTAACAAAAACAGGAATTGACCATACGATTGCTGTAGAATTATCAATGGAGACGTTGGAACAAACACACAATATGTTTATATCAAACTCCGAAATGGAATTAGACCCTACGGCAAAAAGAGTAATGATTACATTACTAAGAAAGCTGCCAAGTCTTATTGAACACGATAGACTTAAAATTGACTCCTTAGATCATTTTAAGCCACAAAAGAAGTGTATTACAAAAAAACAACCCTTGAAAATGCAGTCAAAATCATTTATCATTGTAGCGGAACGCATTTGTTTGTTTGTCAGAGTGAAAAAACGGTACTTTGATAAACCTGAAGTATTATGTTCACAAAGCGTAAAAATTCGTATATTAGACGGAACAAAAAAAATGTGGGTCTTATAATAATGGACAGTTATATTTTGAAAAAATGTATTGATACATACAGTTGTTTTGAAACTAAAACGTAAATATTCATTAAAAAAGGTAAAAATAATCCCATAAAACATATTGTAATATTTAGCTGTTATAAAATTATTTCAAATTTCATTTTTAATGTTTAGAAACTTGTAGTAAAACTAATTTAAAGTATTTTTGTTTATAAAATATTCTTTTCATAAATGAATTGTTTAATAAATCTTTGTTGGATAATTTAAAATCATTATTAAGGACATTTAATGTCAAGGTTATAAATAATATATATATATTATAATTATATAATGAAATATTTTTCATACAAATATTTTTTAAAACAAAATATTACTACAGGTCTACTTTAAAAATCATTTATTTATAGATATATGTGTTTCAAATTATTTCTTAAATCATATTAATTTGATAAGTAAGATTATATAAAAATTAAAATTTCTTTAAAGTTACAAATATTTAATATACATGTTTAATTATGATGTATGTTTTATTAACTTTTTTAAATTACACATATTATTATACTTATATTTTTGTGTATTTATTCAATTGAAGTAAGATGATTATGAACAGCGATGACAAAGCAAATAGTTTTATGTTAATTTTGTTTACGAAAATTCCTAAAAATATTTCAAATCTGCAATTAGATTAATGTCCGTGGTCTCTTTTTTGAGATTATTACTAATTTATAAAAACGAGTATTTAAATTTAAAAATTAATTTTTAATATGTTAAAATAATCCATTCAAAATGTCATGTTTAACTTTTTTTGGTCCTTTAAAGTTGATTTTTATAAAAATTTATAATTTATAAATGTTGAACTTTTAATCTTTTTATTAGTTTAACTTGCAAATTTAAAATTGTAATATTCTCCTCTAGAACATTTACAAAAACCAATATAGAACCACAGAAAAGAATATACTAACACTATTACACGTTTAATTTTGACTTTTGGCTATATAGTAGCCATGAGTCATTGTCTTTCTCAGCGTCTTCAAGACACCACAACGGTACTAAAAAAGGAAAATAATTATTATAACTTTTTTGCGTTGATTGGAATACAAACTGATGACTGTATGTTTCTATAAAAAAGTATAACACATTCAAAACCCTAATCTCCGTTTGCGCCGTTCGTGACATAAGGGCTGAAGACCCTATTTTCCACTCACTCAATAATTTCTTTTTCTCAAATAATCTCTTTTCTACTAATAAGAAATAATAAAGTAAATAGGAATTAATTACTTTTGGTATAATCCACCAATTTCTTAAAATTCAACACTATCTACAGATTAGCATCGAAGCGTTTGTTATGATAGTGATTTTAATCACTGTCAGATATTATCTATACTTATCTAACTAGGCTACCACCACACTGTTGCGACCCCACTATACTAAAGTTTTTTTTAATTATTTACGAATATAGAAATTTATTGAAAAATATTTTTATTTTTAATTACATGTATTTATATGCGTATCAGAGTCGTTCTAGGTTTTCAAAAAATAATTTTTAATTATGCACGTTATAATACAAGAGGTGATTTTATTTTCATAACTATCAATAAAACCACAGTCTCACAAAATAATTTCTAGAAATACATCTTTTATCATAATTGATAAAAATCTCATTTTGAGATACGTACTGCTGTAGCATAGCGACGAAATAGTCATATTTTAACAAACTTTTTCATGTAAAATTTCTTACAGAAATAAGCAATAATTGCTATTAGACTATTGATATTAAACATAAGCGCTACATTTGTTTGAAATTAGATTTTGTTGATACTCTTTATTATCTATATCTGTAATGAGTATATAAATATATTATAAACATTCTTCAACTATGGAATCATGTTTCTATCATTTTCAAAAATTATAATTAAAATAAGAATGGTCGTTGTTTTAAAAAGTTTACTTGATTTTTAGTTTTCATAAGTACATGCAAACTTTTAAAAATACTTGGCAGATATCAATTTAATCTTATGCAAATACACAGATTAAAAAGTTTCATGAATTTTTTTTATTTATAAATAATAATTTATTTTACATATAAAGTAACTTAAGTTATATAATATATCTACATTAATAAATATAAACTTTTTAATAGCAAAAAATTATAAACATTGTTTTTGAATGACTCAATAATAAATAAATATGATTGATTTATAATTATTATTTTTTGACTTGGAAAGAAAATTTTCCAAAAATAAAAGTGATTCAATTAACTAGTAAAAATAATTATGATAATTGAAAGTTGAGATGCTAATGTTTATCAAGATCACAGTTTGAATAGTTCAGTAATTTTAAGGTTAGATATTTTTGATGTAAATATATTTTAATAGTATATTTTAGTCTTAATATATTTCAGTGTAAATATTATTTAAATTAAACAACAAAATTTTGTGACAACAACAACTAATGCTTTAATAGTAAAATTTAACACCAGTACAATTATGTATTTTTAATTATTTAAAGCTTAATTTGTTTAATATGTATACATGCTCTAATCCCATTATTTGGACGGTATGTTTATAGGCGAAGCAAAATATAATAATACTATAGTAATAAGACGACCTGAAATTTTGTACAGATAGTAAAATCAGAGAAATATTGTTTACATATACAAAATATCAAATATTTATGAACTACCACATTTATTTCTATTGCCACAAGTTAGATGAAAGAGATTGATTATTTTGGGTTTGAGTGTTAAAATCTCCAAATCCATTAGTATTTGATGGAACAGTAGTTTGACATCCTAAATTCATGTGGTTCATTTGTTGTGGCAACTAAATGATATTTATTATAAATAAAAAAAAATTGAAAATTCATTATTATTTTGCACTTACATTGGCTAGATTAGATGATTCAAACACAGAAAACTGGCTAGTTGTATTTATTGGATTCTCCTAAAAATAGATACAAGGGATTTAAAAAAAAACTACTTAACACATAGCTATAGTTATAATTGTCCATTTATGATATAACTTAACAAGACATACATAAATTTATTCCAAATATATTACAAAAGGTATACTATATTTAAACTTTATATCTCAAAATTGTTTATGCTTTTATATTTTTTGGAAATATTATTTCTTTACAATAATGCTGAAACTATAAGTGCCAAAAATTTAATGAACCCTTAAAATAAAAATTAAGCAGTTCATGGCTTTGCAATTATATTTATTAATTAATGACTTACTTTATTAAGATATTGGGAAGAAGCGTTTTTTGCTGCCATATTGTAAAATGGATTTGATGTTTGAGCATTATTAAAGTCAATTGAGCTGTTAGATAGTAAATTAGTAGGTAGTCCCTAAAAAATAATGGTAAATTATTAGTAATAGTTTTGAAGATTCTTGAAATAAATTCTACTTAGTTAATAAGCATTTCAGTAGATAGTTAAACTCTGAACATTTTTTATACATTTTACACAAAAAAAAAAAAAATTTATGTTTAAAATATACATACAGTTACATTGACTTGGGGAAATGATTGCATATTTTGAAAACCATTATTGTTGAAAGCATTAAAAAAGGGCTGAGGTTGTGAAGTAACAAATCCATTATTTTGACCTAACAAAAAAAAAAAAAAGGAAGAAATGTAAATTCTAAGAACTTAAAATTATTCATTTTTTACTTTTAAATTGGCTAGTGGAAATATTGTTTGGTTGAGATTTTCCATAAAGCGCTAAAATTGAGTCAGTAGTAAGTTTATTTTTTGTAGCTGCAGCTGATTGATTAAAAAAGTTATCTTCTTCCGATGAACGTTTTACTGTAGAGTCTACTGATTGCTGTGTTTGTGGTGGAGATGTAGTTGCAGATGACAAAGATGCACTTAAAAAACTACTAAATGGATCAGTAGAATCTGAACCCGATGATGCAAACGATGTATCAATTAACGTTGGATTAGAATCTTTTGTTGGGGTATCTAATTATTAAACATCAAATAAAAATGATTGATAAGTTAATTTTATATTTAATTAATTTTACTTATGAATTTATATTTAAAAAGTATACCTAATCCAAGAAGATCTGTGGAATTAATTGATTCAGTGGATAATAACTTCTTATTTGATGTCAACTTTGGGCTAAGAGAGGCAGGTTTTGGTAATGGGTTTGGTATGATTGATGGTACATTACGAACAACTGATCCCAGTTTAGATTCCCTCTTTTTTTTTTTTAATTTTTCGGCTTCTTCTTCTAATTCTTTATCCCAATTAACCTGTAAAATGTTTTTATGTAATTAATTAAAACAAGAAAAGAGAGTATCATATTAGATATAAAACTTGCAACAAAATATTTTATTTTGATGAGTGGTATTGATAATTCAAATAAATAAAATATTTTATTAAAGTACACAATTTTAAAATTAATCTATTACATGAAATTTCTGTATTTTAACAGGAACAATTATTAATGTTTTACAAATCTCCAAAATAGAATTTTTTTTTTTAATGTCTGGTAACAAATGGTATTGCATTGAAAATGGCAATATTTAATTTTTACATTCAATAGGTCAAAACCTAGCAAGTAATGCAATAAATACTAAGTTTGTCATTATATTTGTTTTTGGCTCTTCCTTTTAAAAAAATCATTCAATGATATACATAATATCTTATAAAAATCAACCCAACTTTCTTTTAAAGAAAACAAAAACATTTTTGGTTTACAAATAATTGAAAATAATTTTTTATACTATTCATACTAAATGACAATTCGATATGAGGTGCTCACAATGGACCAACAGGTCTGAGTGCATGGGCATTATGTCTACATCAATAATTGAAACTAAAACTAATTCATACTAAAAAGTATTTTATTTCTTATGCATTATATCCTATGTTTGGTAATCTTAAATCTACCTTAAAATAAAAAAAATAATTTTTTTTTTATATTACAAAGCAATTTGTTAAGTAAACTGTAACGTAATTTTTAGAATTTTAATTTTAATGAACTTTTTTAGTTCAATTTTTAATGAAAAAACTGATAAAATAAAAATTAATAATATTGCAGTGAATATTAACTTTAGGAATTGAAGGCTGAACCCATTCTTTGGCAATATATTTTTTATGCTCATATTTTGACCTAATAAAAGCTTCTAATGCAGAATCAGTTTGAGGTCGCCTAAAATTGTCAGGTAGATTAGCCTCATATACAGCACGAGCACGACTATTTCCCATCTGCTGTAAATTCTGTAACAAAAATAAATTAGTGTTGAATATTTTATACAAATTAATTTATCTACTGAAATTAACAACACTATTTAAATTTAAATTAATAATACATACAGCTACTTGCTCAGGTGTCCAGGAATCTAGATTAACAGACCTCACTTTGCTTATATGTACCCCAAGATTTCGATGAATCCCTGCACACCGAATACACAAAAAAATTCCTAAATTCCAGGATGCCCATCTGGGACCTAAAAGAAAATTCGGATTGCATTCAAAATTTAATTGCCTTGAGTTATCTCTCACCTTTTGAATCACAATCCACACAATATTTATTATCGTCATCTTTTAGCATTTGATTCAATAAGGCCTGGCATCTATCTTGTATTAACTTCTGTCTTTCTTTTTCTGTTTTTGAAGACATATTAATTCACTTAGATTAAAAATCAGAAATTAAGAGAGAAAGAAATTTGAGAAAAATCTGTAAGGCAGTAAAGATACTAACACATAATTCAAGTCTATGAATTTTAAGTACGAATTGATTGGTTGAATTATTATACAAAATTTTCATTATCAACATTTTCAATTCATACTTGGGAATTTGGCTATTGAACTTATACATTGAAGCCAACTTAACAAAAAAAGCACACGTCTACATCAAATTAGTCTATTAAAGAACAATTCTACAAAAGTTGGTAATCGTATGATTACACACTGTTCGTTATCATTATCTGTAATTCAAACTGTTTGAATTTTTATAATTTTTGAGTTCAACTCTACTTGAACAATACATTTTTTATTATAATACATCCCAATTTTACTGGTCTCAACCTAGTATACAATTTTGTATTTAATAACTTAATAATCATAAGATAACATAATTTTTATTAAACTCTGTAAAATAGTTATTATTTTTTATCTAGTCATTGATTATGATGAATTTGTTCCTTTATTTATGTATATTAATTTTATATTTTGCCAATGCTCAAGATCCTAAAGGCTATATTGCTTATTGCCCTTGTATGGGTCGTTTTGGCAACCAAGCTGATCATTTTTTAGGTGCACTTGGTTTTGCTAAAGCTCTTGACCGCACATTGTTATTACCACATTGGATTGAATATCGTTATGGACAGCCAAAGTCAGAACAAGTACCATTTGATAAGTATTTTAATGTTACTCCATTATTAGAATTTCATAAAGTTCAGCTCATGAACGATTTTATGTCCAAATTATCAGGCAGTTTATGGCCTCCTGAAAACCGTGTCTCTTTTTGTTATATGCAACGTGGTGAAAAAGAAGGATGCAATGCTAAGTTTGGCAACCCATTTGAATCTTTTTGGGATACATACTCAATTGATTTTTCTTCGTCTGAATTTTATTCGCCTTTAAATTATGATGTATACCATCAAAATATGGCAAATAAATGGAATGATAAGTATCCACCAACTGAATGGCCAGTTTTAGCCTTTGTTGGTGCTCCTGCTAGTTTTCCAATTCAAAAAGAAAATATTTATCTTCATAGGTATTTGAAATGGAGCGATGAAATTGAAGATTTAGCAAAAAAATTCATTGAGCAAACAATAAAACCTGGTAAATTTGTTGCAATACATTTACGTAATGGTATTGATTGGACACGTGCTTGTGACCACATAACAAATAATAATTTATTGTTTTCTGCTCCACAGTGTTTAGGTTATAGGAATGAGTATGGAAAAGCAACTGAAGAATTATGTTTTCCAACATTTGAAATCATAATCAGACAAATTAAAAGACTAATAAGGAAAAATTTAAATGATATAAGTACATTATATGTAGCATCTGATAATAACCATTTAATACCAGAATTGACTCAAGCACTTAACAGCTTTAACGTGAAAATAGTTAAGTATAAAAATGATAACCCTCATGTCGATCTTGCAATATTAGGTCAGGCAGACTATTTTATTGGCAATTGCATATCATCATTTAGTGCTTTTGTGAAACGTGAAAGAGATTCAAAAGGTTTTCCCAGTGAATTTTGGGCATTTCCTACTTATCAAAAGAATAGTCAAACTATAAAAGAAGAACTCTAGTACTATAAATTGCAGTATACTAATAGTTATGCGAGTTATGTTTTAAAATACAAAAAATAGTGATAACAATATATTTTAGATACATTGTTTTATAATAGTTTGAAAGAAGATTTGCTTAAGTAAATTTTTATTATTGTATTTAAAAATTTTTTATAAACATTATTTTACTAAAATAATAATTTATATAGTATTTTATATTTATTATTAAATGCTTTTTAATATTTTAATAAAGATTTGTATTTAATTTTTGCATTATTTACTGTATTATTATTTTACTCTAATAATAGAATAAAACCAGCAGTTAAAATGATTGTGCTTTAATATTTACTGTTTAATTAAATAGTATGTATAGAAATTTAATTTTAATAGATACCAAAATTTTCTAAGTATACTATTACCTGTAAAAATTGAAAGCCCTTGATAAAGTCTCAGTACTAAATATGCAAAAGTTCCGTTCTAAAAATCTTTAGTAATTTTAATCAAATATACATTATTTACAATTTAAAAATTAGAAATAAATTTTAAATAATAAAAAACTTCACTAAATAAAAAAAAAAATTACTCACATTTTTACAAGAAGATAACTTTATTGAAAAAAATATGCATATTTACAAAAATTCAAAATGCAGATGGTAAAATCAATAATTTAAAAAAACAAATAATTATAATCAAAATATTTGTTTAACTCATTGATAAAAAAAAGATTAATATGATTCACCTAAAGTGATAGATAAAATTATCATTAAAAAAAAAATTTAATTATAATTAAAAAAAGATGATATTTGATATATTAAAAGCCTTATTTATATAATAACTAGGGCTATTAACATAAAATCAGTTCAGAAGAAGTACATAAAAATGTATAAATATGTTTTTATGAATCAATCAATATATTTTACGTTATTCACATATATAAAATTGTATATATAAATAGGTACTCTAAGTGAGTCATTAAAGATAGTGCTTTTACAAAATGTCATCCCTTCACATAATCCATATGAACGCCATAAACACCAATTTAGATTTATCACTTGTTCAGTCTTAAGTTTGATTTGTAATTGTCAATTCAAAGAAAGTGTGTTGCATATAAAAATAATTATAATAATAATATTGTTATTAGATTAGTGATATCTTTTTATTTTTATTTTCAGAATGGACGTATTTCTTTTGATCCGTCCAATCAGTCTTTGCTGTCATTTTTTCGGTGGTGCATTTGAAGCTATTTTTATTTTTTGACGTTTTAAAAATTCTTTTGCTACTTTATCATTTGTCCGTGTTTCAAGAACCTTGCAGATTTTTGAATCTAGAGTATAAATAAGTTAATTTTAATTTTATAGAAAAATTAACATTTATTTTTCTTAACAAAAAAGTTATTATAAATATATAAAATTTTAATAACTCATATTTTATATTTGATATTTTTTATTAGATACATTTACCTTTCTTAAACTTAAGTCTTAAATGAGGATATTATTTATTACAGTACAAATACTTGGAATAATAATTATAATAATTTAAATCATAAAATTATTTATTTTCTTTAAATAAAAGTAACAATTTCATACTTGGGAAAAATAAAAAAACCCATTTCTCTAATAAAAATTTTCTAGTGATATCTGTGATATACTGTAATAAATTTTTTTTTTTTTTTTAAATAGCCTTTATTAAAATAATATTTAGCTCAACAATTATATTATTATACAATTATAAGCGAACAAAGTATAATAGTCATATTACTATGTTATAACGGTACAACAAATGCGGCAATAATTGTAAGTATTATATTAGTACATTATTTAAAATTATTGTTAACAGAGCCTGTAATTAAAGTTTAAATTAATATTTTATAAGTAAACACAAGAAAATTTAAATTTTTGATAAAAGATATTTAAAAAATCTATTTAATTGATTATTATTACAAAATCTCACCTAAAGATTTGGGCACGCTCAATTTCAATCTAATTTGTGGAGCATTACCAGAATCGTTCTCTAAAGGTGTAGATGGAATATCTTTAAAGTGTACATAAGCTTCTGATATGAACTCATTTGTCATTCCCATAAAATCTTGATCTTTCAATACAAATATTATCAAACCATTTTCTTCATTTCGTTGTTCAGGAGTAAGAGTTCTAAAATATGTAATAAAGTAAGTATATAAAAATAAGTATATAAATAATAAAATAATTCATAATATCTTGTATAACATTTAACCAACAATTTAAAACATTCATCAAACAATGGAAATAAGGTTTTCTTTTGAACAGTAGTTTTGGATTTAATGACATTCTGGAACTTATATCTTGGAAGTAAACAGATTTTGACAAATGGATCACTAAAACCTTTAAAAAAATTAATTTTATAATTTAATTTATATTTTATAGAACTAAATTATGGAAAATTACCATTAGAATCCATTGCTCTAATATTATTGGCATTCAGTACTTCTATATTCAAACTATCATTGATGAATATTACTTTAATTGACAAAATACCCTGTTCAGAGTCTTGAAGATTTTGTTGTTCATGATACCTTTCAAGATAATATTCATGTATAAGCTCATCAGTTTCTAATGTATGAAGTCGTAGTAGAGCTTCTAATTTTTGGATTGTTTCACTCTTTTCAGTTTCATCTCCACTTCTCAGGAAGCCAAATAGCATGTGAAAACTGTCTCTCAAATTTTTAAAGTAAGAAGGTGGTTTTTTTTTCTATTCATTACAAAGTAAAACGATTAATATAAGGTAAAATAATAAAATATTATTGAGAATAGTATTACTATTACTACCTCAACACTCTTCTGTATCAAGCCATTCATAATGCTAGCTAGTTGTTCAACTATAATATCAAGAATTCTTTGAAAATTTTCCTCATTTAGTTCGTTACTCAGTGTACACAAACTTTCATCAAGATATTGCATCAAGTTGTCTAAATGGTTATTGTTTGTGTTGATTGTTTCACTTCCTTCAATTAAAAATTTGCTCATTTCTGGCGACATCTTAAAATAAGACATAATATTCAAATATATGGCATGCAAAATTTAATTATTTATTAGTCATACCTTGTTAACAAGAGTTTGAAGTAGATCAATAATTTTATTGCTGACAGTATCAATTGAATTGTCAACAACTAAATCTAAGGTCTTCTTACAATGATCAGCTGATGACTCACTTTTGTAATTAGCCAAGTTATCCATCAATTGGTTTAAACCTAAATCGTTGACGAATGGCCTTATTGACTGTTTTACATAATCAATATTATTTACTGCCAAACACCACTTAAAAAATAATTAGTTGAATTGAAAAAATTATATTATTAATATTTCTCATTTGCATGATTACCTCTTTGGTAACTTCAAATTTCTTTTTATCCACTACTGTTCGATTGACTTTATAACCCATTTTATCTGAATAGTATACAGAACATCTACAAATATCATCTATAATTTTTGCCACAAATGAATAGGAACCTTCAGCGTCAGGCCAAGCTAATTGTTGCCAAAAGACTTTGATTTGATAATAAATTGCTAAGGTATCTACAGCTGAAGAACTATATTCGACGCTTGTGTCCATTTTCACTAATTTATCTAAATCAACAGCTCTTTCAATTCGCTGCATAGCTTTGTATGCTGCTATATCAAGCCATCTAGCAACACCTTGTTGAAACCATAGATGATATTTTGCTATATGGCTAGTTTCAGGATCAATTTGACAAGATGATTTTCCTAGGCTATAAAAAAAAAATAAAACCTGTTAAATTTCTATTAATAAAATAATTTTTAAATAATAATTACTCAGAAAACTTTTGAATACTCATGTAGAGTTCAAATAAAGAAGTACCCATAGCTAGTGGATCTTTATCAACTTCAAGTCTTCCATTTTCTTCAAAATTTATAGGTTTCATGTTCATACAAATGCGAGTAATAAATGGTTCACACATTTCAGATATTTTGCATTCATAAATTGAGAATAGAGTACAAGCATAAGAAAATTGAATTTTCCTTAAAAGAAAATATCTGAGATTTAAATTACACTAACTCACAATAATAGTACAAGTGTATTACTTAATAAATATTTTGTCATAGTAATCTAAAGCTTTTTGAAGATCAGCTTTAAGATGTTGAATAATTTTTATGTGAAGTTTCATTTGTCCTTCTTCTGTAAAATCATGCGGTTTATTGTGTTCTAATATATGTATATACCTAAAAAAAATACACTATATATTATATATCTTTTACGAAAAGACATAACTAAAATTTATTTGTTCATGTTCAATAATATGCTAATTTACCAATCTACAGCTCCTTGAACAACTGCATCATTTAATGTTGTCTTTATGTCTCTAATGTGTTCACATGGCAATAACCAACCGTACATATCTAACGGAAATAGATCAATGTCACTTGGTTTTTCAAAAGAATGAAGGTGTCGCAAGATGCTAAAAAGAAATCATTAAATTAACTTAGATATTGATATTAGTTTAAATTAGATCAATTTACTTTAAATTTGATTCTATTTGAGCTATAAATCTAGAATCTTCTGGCGATACCTTTCGTATCATTCTTATGTTAGTGTAGCAAAAAGGCAACAGTTTTTTAGAAAATGACCAAAATAACTTAAGCTAAAATGTTGACAAAATTATTAATAATTATAACTTCACATTTATATTTTATTTTTACATTCATTATTTCTTATTTATTCATTACCTCTTCATTACATATTATTCCAGTAGAAATTGGTTTCACTAATTTTTCAAGTATATCCGAAAACACTTTAAAGCTTACAACTGGACTTAAGACATGAGCATTACAATACTCAATCCATTGACTTAAGTATTCATCTACAGGTGAAATATTACCTTGGGCCACATGTTGCTGAATTATTAACTTAGATTCCGGCAAGAAATCTCCCTCCCATGAATTTGCCTCGAGCTAAAAAAATAATTTAAAATTCCCAAATTAACATCAAATTAATACACATAACATAAATATGATAAACTTACTTGTCGAGTATTCATTTCATGAGCCAAAAGAATTCTTAAAAGATGTCGGTGCTCTTGAGCAGCCACTTGTTTGTCTTTTTCACTACCAAAAGATAATTTAAGAAGTAAATTTCCTTGTGGCTTAGCCTTTCCCTTTTTCTCTAGATTGTACCAAGCTAATTGCCCCCGAGAAGGAATCATCTATACATTATAAACTTTAGAATCACATAGAAATAACTGAATAAAAGAAATTTACTTTTACTGGAACAATTGTACCACCAATAATCTCATTATCATGTTTTCCGTTTGTAGCTGTCACAGCAATTTCTTTCATAAATCTTTTCATTCCTTTAAACCCTTTTATGTCACCAACCTTGCCAACTTTTTCTTTAACAGTCTCTGCAGGGTCAAAATCCCAAACTTCCACACACAATATATCATCATCAGGAACATTAACTGGTCTAAAATATATTTCATTTGATATAAATTAATAGTTACAATTTAAATATCAGAAATTATTTTACAAACTCTTACAGTGAAAAATGTTCTTCCCATACGGGTCGTAATGTCTGGGTTTTTACTGATGTGTTATATCTATGTTGAGGTTGGGATGACAAAAATAGAGTACAGAACGGGTCGCTAAGTCCATTTGCATCTTTAGGTTTAATTTCTTTACCTTCAACGATTTCAATGTTTAACATTATATTTGGTGCCTTTAATAAATAGTTCAATAATATTAATATTATAAACACATATATATTATACATATTTCGCAACAAACTTTAGGAATGTATGAAGTAAGAAGTATTTGAAATAATTATAGAGTAAAAAATTATTATTAAAAATTGGTTGAAGTTGATTTTGTATAAATAAATCTAATAGATTAATTTTTTTTGTTTGTACAATTTCTAAATATTTCTAATTGTAATTGTATTTTAAACGCAACTATATTGAGAAGAATGGGCATTATAATATCTTAAAAAATATTTTATTGCGAAATCCATCGTCAAAAATTTTTTTTTCAATTTTATAAGAAAACGATAGACATAGTCTACTTTGACTTTGCATAAACTGAATCCAATAATGTATTTTTTATTTTACTTAATAGTATATAAAAAACATTTAGTAGTTATCAGTAAATCATCGCATTAATAGTTATTTTTCGAAATTTTTAAGAAAAATATTCAAAAATTTTAGATTGAACACACTCTTCTTCTCATGAATTATGTAATAACAAAATTGTTTAAAGCCTAACTTACTTGTTTCTGCTTAACTGTTCGGTAAATGTTATCGTGAACTTCTGGTTCAATTTTAAATGCTTCTTTAGCAAATTCAATCAATGTATTTTTCTGAATTGTGTTCTTCTCGGCACCCACGCTATGAATAATCTCATGAAGTACTTCTTCATACAATTCATCGATCTGTAAATAATACACGTATCGATGAAAACAACATAGTTTCTTACTGCAAGTAGATCCACCAGAACCAACAGTCATATTTTGCATGCGAATTTTACTTCTTCTCTCCATTTCCTCTTTTTTAATACCTCTAAAGTTAAACAATTTTTCCTTTGCTAAACCAGGCATCATTGTAGTGCATTACACGTAGAAATTACAATTGAAAAAAGTATTAAAGATCGGACGAGAAAAATTATGCTGAACACTCAAAAGAAATGGCACTTCTAAAGATAAATCGGATCTGCGTGACGCTCAAGCCAAATGTGCTATTTTTATGATGATCCGCTTTTGTGCCAAACTATGATTTAAACCAAACCCCGTTCTAATACAAAAATTTGTTTACATATTTTCGGACCTTTAAAACATCAATTATCAGGGGCAAAATGGTAGGCCACAAAAATTGTGATGGCCCTGCTACCTCCAAAAAAAATTTGAATTGCTTCAAAAAAGAAATTATGAGTAAAAAAAAAGTTCAAAAATCAATTTTACATATTGGATTAGGCTATTCATGGTTGCTCTCATCGTTCTATAGACAATGGCCCCCGTGACGATTACTATACTTATTCCCGAGGCCACTTCTCTCGTGACAATAATTAATAGCAACGTACTATCCAACCATCCCTCATAGATTAGAGCATACCAGTTACTTATGTTTTCAATGGAAATAGTACTTTTTTCATGTTTTTAACTAAATGTTCGTATTCTTAGTGATGTGTAAATGTTTAATGAGAAAAATAATTTTTAAGTAAAATAAAAAAGTTTTCAAGTTAATTAATAAATATTTATACTCGCTGATGATGTATTCACAATATCTTAACAAAATGTATAAGTGCATATAGCCCTATCCATCATTTTATAATTTAGGAAAATGATGGGCAAACAAAAATAAAGTTTACTTATTTTTTCAAAAGCTTAAAAACACAAATGATTTTTCTGAATTTTTAAACTGAGCGAATGAGAACTATATGTCTTCCACTATACACCAATTCGATTACTAAAAATAATAACTAAAACGCATAAATTTCTTAATTAGGCCTTGTACTCAATAAAATTAGAGTATTCCACCACCCCAAAAAAATACAAATAAAACGTTAAGTAAACGATTTGAATTTTTTAAGGGCTTCGACATTTTTGTTGTTTATGAAAATGTGTCAGATTAAATAATTTTAAAAGAAAATATTGCAACGAATTAAAAATAACTTACATTTTCATAATATAAAAACGTTTGATTACGTGGGACACAAGGTTTTTTTTTAATTTCTAAGTAGTTATTTAATTTAATTAGCAAAAGACACAGAGGATAAGTAATAATATAGATAGGCTTGTTTTTATAAACTACATAGAAAAAAAAAATGTGTTAGCTAATATTTTTTTTAATAATATTGATTCATTTTTCTTTCCAAAAAAATGTTTACATTCGGTGTGCAGTAATCACATTAGTTGGGAATATTTAAATATCTAATCTAAATAAATAACCTTAGCTTATTTTATTTTATACAAGATAGTTTTTTTAAATATATAGATATTTTATTTATTGAGAATATATTTTAAATACTATTATTTAATTTTATATATCGTTTCAAAAATATTTTACAATTATAGTAAAATAATAACACTACATTTTATGAAGATAGAAGTGAAACATTTTGGTTGAAAACCAACAAATACGTGATGTAGTTATTAAGTAACTCTACAATTAATGTTTATAACAAAAGCATGTTTTTTTTATTTTTGTCTACCACACCTAATTTAAACAATACCACTGCTCAATTGCTATCAACCAAGTTAAATTACTGTTTAAAAAATGTGTACAAGGGGTATATAGAAAATGCATTTTCATTTTTTATGTAGTGTTAAAAGATAAGGTACGAAAAGTTAATGATAGATTAATGCTTTAATCTACCTGACAACGAATAAAGATGAGTGGCTAGAATGATATAAAATCTGACCTTGTAAAATTGTTCTATTTAATGTTGGAAACAGTCCAGATTATTATTTTTTATGTATTATCATCCTAAACACATAATCTCTGAAGTTCATGAACTTATAAATATATTTAAAATTACCCTTGCTCTTAGATGGTATGTACAACCAAAAAGTTATTACATTAATCAGTAGTTTTCATAAAAATTTGTTGGCACAATTTTTAACCATATGTTTTAATTCAATAGAATTGTTTAAAAATTTTAGTTAGGTCTATAACTTGTTTTTGAATTTTTATTATTGAGACTAAACAAATAAAATGTCTAACATTAATTTTTGACTTCCATTTCTATTAATCAACACTGTTAGCACTTATTAATTATTAATTAAAATTACGTACAAAATTTCTTAATGTACCACTCTGTAAAATATAGAGACATTAACATATATTACGAAACTATTAAACAATAAAAATTAATCACTTGTAGTTAATATTATTTAAAATTAAAAACTTTTGTGGATTTTTGAGTTAAATATTTTTTTGATTTAAATTAATATTTTTAATATAATTTTAATTTTAAAGCATTATTGAATTAATTTAATTAAATCTTATTAGTAACTGTGTTAATTGTAAGTTTTAAGTAACGCAGTCGAATTCTTTATTTCTAAAGAAAAAATAACATTTATTATTATTATTAAAAAAACTCATTAAAATAAAGATTCATACAAATTATGACAAAGATTGACATTTTCTATTGAAATTTTTCTGTTAATAAGTTATTGGCGATTAAAAAATATTATAAAATAAGGAAAATTTACTGAGTACAAATTTCATAACTTACATTTAATTCCAACAAAGATGAAAAAAAATCAGTGTACGATATAGTTTTAGAGGCAGTGTCTTCATAAATCTTAGCTAGTTCTTTTTCATCTAGAATATCCAATTGGTCTTCTTTCTTAATAGCTGCCGATTGTTCTTCAATATTTTCTTTGAGTCCAGATCCATATCGTTCAAAAAACCCTCCATCTAATTGTTCAACCCTAAAAGGAGAAAAAAAAATTCATAAGATATTCCAAAAAAATATTTATTAGTATTTAAGAAGATTCTAAAAGTTGTATTTGATTTTCGTAAGCTAACAAGGTATTATTATTTATTTCTTAACCAATATATTGGTATATATTGGTATTATATATATTTTATAATATTGCCTTTAGAGATTTGCCCCGATTTTTTTAAGTCAAATGATTTTTTTTTTGAAAGTAAATTTCTTTGTGTCTTTTTTCAATTGTCAACTTAAATATTTGACATTATAACTATGTACTTGTTACCTGAAGCTTATGCACCTCTTACCTTCTTTGATTTAGTGCTACTTCAGATACAAATGTATTCATAAATATACGAATTAATCAAACACTGATAATTTATTTTAACTTCTTCTTCAGGTTTCTCAGTCTTCCGACTGGTATAGCCTTCTTACAATTCTCCTCCATTTATCCCTGTCTTCTATTTTCCTTTTAACATCAACATATTTTAGGCTCATTTCTCCGTGATATGAAATTTGCTCTAGGTCTTCCTCTTCCTTTTTTCTCTGGTATAATTCCTTCGAGTACTACTTGTATAGGACTATCATGTCTCAGAGCATGTCATAGCCATTGTAATTTTTTAGTTTTTATGAAATCTATTATTGCCCTTTGCTCATTTTAACTTAAATCTTTTAAAAAAAAGATTGAATAACAATGAAATAAATTATCTGTTATTGTATAGATTTCTAGTTTACACACCTACAATGTTTATGCAGCATACATCATCAACCAGTTTACATTTGTTAGTTTTCTATATCTCTCAATTTCTAATGTTCAACTTTCTCTTAAAAATTTCTTTCAAGATATTCGTCAATCGTTTTTTAAGTATAGAAGCTATATTCGAGGAGGAATGAAATAATACTGCCCTCAATCATAATGATAACTTTTACATACATTCGTTGTAGTTTAAGCAAATTTTTATTACATTATATTTTGGATACTACCCAAGAATTTTTTTCCGAATGCAATTTTAATAAATTAATTTTAACATAAAAATTAATTTATATTAAAGATATATAATACAATCTATCCTTTTTAATAAATTAATTTATTATAAGATAATTTAACAAGAAGGAAAATGGTTTCATTATAATACGGTAAATTTCTTTTCACTCAAAAAAAAAAATATCAAGTTGGTCATAATATTAAAATAGTGACGGAAAAGTGGCAAAACTTATGACAACAATATTAACCCACGCTAAAAAAAACTTAAAACTCTTACTCAATTCAATCTAATTATAATAATTTATTTCTTAATGAAACAAAACTACAGAAAATTATTAAATCTTAATTAACAAAATATTAATAACACCTTTTCACAACAGCTTGTAATTTAATATGTAGAGCAAAATATATTTAAATAACAATTAAATAATTTAAGGAGAATTCTTCTCCTAAGATAATAAGAAACTTCTCTTATAAGTCAATCTATCTGTTTCTGGGTATCAAATAACTGTTTATTCACATAAATGTAAAATAATATTATATGCTTTAACAAATAAGACAAATATTATTTTACTTTTTCCAGGTAAAATAATATCGGAACTTCGGAATTTGTAATTAAATGGAATTACGTTCTTAAATACAATATTACGTTCCAAACTGTTGAATTATACTTAATTATTTTATAATTATTTTGTTTATCATTATTCTATTATAAAATATGCTTTTTACTATTTTATCTACTCGATAGTAATTAAACTCTAAGCAATTTGTTTAAATCAATTAGTTGTAAATCATATATAAGAAATGCTGGTTATTCTAAATCATTGTCCAGCTAATAAGCAATTTTAGTACAAAATTATTACTAGCAAAACGGATATTACAAAGAATAAATTTCTGAGAAAAATTAAATTTTTGATAATATTTGATAGTGGAATTGTTAGATATAAGTGAATTAAGTTTTCCTTTTATAAAATATTACATGTCCGTGTAACAATGAAACTTTAAAATAATCATTGGCGTAACTAGCCGGGGGCTTAACCTTCTAAGCTCCTCTTAATTAGAAAACTGTTCCTAAAATTTCAGAAAAATTGTATGCATTATTATATAAATATATATTTTTAAATTGAAAATAATTGAATATAACCGCTCAAAAGAGTGTGTTGTAGTTACTCCAGTGAAAATAAATAATGCTGTTATCTCATTGTCTTAAGTTCAACTCTATAGAAACACTTACTATGCTTGACTGTGCAATGTTACTATTTGTGTATAAATATATCTGCAATGTTGTTCCCGTGTAATAAAACTATTCACAATAATATAAAAAACAGAGTAAGTCTCGCTATGCGCGGTATTTCTAAAGAACGTATATTTTTATCAGTAGTATTATCGTTAATAAAAATTATAAATATACTTTAAATAAATTGTGAGCAAAAAGCATGTACTATAAGGTAATCTGTGTTCCAGATAATGTTTTTTCTAGTGTTCTTAAAGTTGAAGACACTATTTTGGCATCTTTCCATGAGTATTGTACAAGTCAGTAATTTTTCATTAATTGGAGCACATTTATACTTTGATTGCACATTTTTGTACTTGTTTAAACCAATGTTGAATGTTGGAAATTAAAAAATTTTTATGTAATAACTTTAATTATTTGCATTTAATTTGCTTGATGTTTAGGGAATATCTATTGATAATAATGTAAATACTCAAACAACTTGTGTAAGATTTATAAAATAGATTTTTAAATTTTGTTTTATTATTATTACAATCCCATAATTGTAAATTATTAAATAATCAACACTGAAAAATTACTATTTGAATTTTAAATTACATAAAATACTCTTTTGAAGAACATTTTAGTTCAAGATGTACAATATGGTTTATTCACAGTTATAAGTCAGGATTTTTTTTAGTTTGGTTTGGTACAACTATAAAAATTTGAATTAATGAATTTACTATTAAAATATTTAATCAGCATATATATTAAATATTTGATGCGTATAGAGTACATACGACGATATATATTAATTTACTATTTTGTTTTTAACAGGTTTTTTCATCTAGTTCTAAAATGTGTATGCAAATTAAAACCACATGCAAAAACACAGTTTTTTTTACAGGTTTTAGTTTTAAGAATCAATAAAGTATGGTCCATAAAACAAAATTTAATCACAAGTTTTTTTGGAAATTAAAAATACTAAGTTATTTAAACTTTCACCTATTTACTATTCTAATAGTCAACACCAAAAACAAGAAATCCTTGGACCAATAGCATATTTTTTATAAATCATCATGTAAAATTATTTGATAATTTTCATGGATCAAAATGGATCAAATATTATACCTAAACCAATGCTTTTTGTGTAATGAGTGTTCTATCATTCATTTTAAAGAGCATAAACAAACGTTTGATACCGTAAATTAATAATTTAAATTTTTTAAAATTTTAAATGCTCTAGAAACTTAACTACAAAATGACTTTGCTACCAAATTATTTCTGAATATATATTGTATAAAATGCTATCTCGATTTTTTTTTTTACATTTCTAATAAGTTTTTAATATATATATGTATATATGTATATATCTATTTTTATTTTTGATAAAATTAAAGTTCTAAGATCTAGTATGGCTTAAGAAAATAAAGTAACGAAAAATGTTCAATAGATAAAAATTTATGAGATTTATCAAAACTTGGGGGACACAGTATATAAAGCGTGATTCTTTTAATACTAGTCACTCGATTTCTCTTAAAATAATAACAATGTTAAGAAAATTATTTTTGTTTTTTTTTTTTTTTTTAGTTTTATATATTTTTTATTTATCAATTATAATTTTTCTATTTTAGTCCGAAGTTATCAACTATTTTTTTATTTAAATTAAAACATGCATATTTAAAAAGCTTAAAAAATAGAAAATGACTGGTCAATAACAACTTTTGACACATTTTTCGGAAATTATTAATTTTTAAATTAGATTGTAGGTGGCACGGGTATGACAATATTTATCATTAGAAATTTCTCGAGTTCACTACTCCTCCCACCTAGACATAAGAATGTTAATTACTTTCTAAGTACTGGTCCAATAGTTATACGTTATTACATATAAGTACTTTCATCGTTCGTTAATTTTGTGAATAAAACAATTATAACTAAAAACCAACAAAATAAAAATAGGCGATGACTGGCATAAATCACAAAGAAAACAATAGATATATATCCACTTAAAGTAGTATAATCGTAGGTGTAATTTTATTATTCAAATCAATGAAACTTTATTGGGCAGTTTACTTGTAGGACGTAGTACTATATAGATATAAAACATTTACAAGAAGTTCGACATTGAAGTTTTTAATTAGTAATTAGGGAAGGGTTGTGGGTGCACAACTCCTCATTTTAATTTAATAGTGAAGATACAATTATTTTTCGTAGAGGTAAGTGAAAGGTTCAATTTAGTATATAATACCTCAAGACGAAAGCCTAATTACGCCATTGGTGGTGTTGCCTGACTATACAGCGTGATCAGTTTATTATAAACCATTCGATTACTCGCAAAATAAATACAATATTGAAAAAAATTGTTAAAAATTATTCAACACATATATTATATTTGTTGATTTATCAAGTAATAATTACTTTTTAGATTGATCTCTTATAAATTAAAGGGGTGTCAACTTTATTTTTTTAAATAGCTACATACATATTTAGCTAACGTATTAAATAGGAAATTTTCTTATTAAAATTATGACGGGTCAATAACAACTTTTGTAACAGACTAACGGTGAGGAGGAGTGCTGCTATTTTTATCACTAGTCATTTCCAGACCGTACAGTTCCTCTAGCTCAGGTATAAAAATTTCAATAACTTCCGAAATAATGGTAATTAGATAATTATCTATTAAATAAACTAGATCATTATGTATGTTCCCATTTGAAAAATTGAAATTGACACCCTTATAATGTTAAACGGATGAATATAAAAAATACTTCATGATTGATAAATTTAAAAAAAATCT